ACCAACCCAACCCCACCCTCTCTCTCTCTCTCTCTCTCTCTCTCTCTCCATGTGTGCACGCCTGCATGCATGCATGCATAAGGATTATGAATCTTCTATAGTGCTTGGGATTGAGTATTCTTTTTCTTTAGGAATTTGTATAAAGGACAAACAGAAAGGGAGAAAAACACCAGCATACAAAAACTCGACGAGAATTCAAATGCTCTTTATCAGAAACATATGCTAAAAGAATGGGAACTTTTTTTTTTCTATTCAATTAGTGAAAATGGTGGTTATCAATTATTACCTCGGAGAATGCCAATCTATCAGCCACATCATTTGTCCACTGGAAAAATCGAGTTAGTTGGCGTGTGAATTTCAAGACTGCAACAGGAACTGTCGTCACATTTGCATCTTGTCCAGCAAGCCTCTCACAAAGAGTTATGACCTGAAACAATAACTGAAATAATCATTAAAGAATAGTTCCATGATCTATCCATAGATGAATAGGTTTTCTGCCTCAATTCTGTCTCTGTACTCTTACACCAAACCAAATTTGGGAAGATGATATGCCTTTGCGTATACACATCCACATTAACAGCTAGTTACCAAATAAAACTGAGGCAACCTTGATGTCTGCCTTTATAAATCTGTCCCAAAAAACTTCGAAGTGAAAAGAATTCACTAGGGGACTTGATTGATTACTACACATTTATCTTAACTGGTAGTAACTACTAACCAAATTAAGATTATAGATATCAAAGCAACTTTGATATGCATTTGTAATTTTAAAATGTACCACAAAGAATAAAAAATAGAATAATTCCTTCACATGATGGCCGTGTTGGAGAATAATTATAAGTATCTACAACAACAAACCATACTGCTATGGTGGCTTCTATGTATTGATTGATGAATATGAAAATCAGAAAAGAAAAGAACGAAAAAGGAAACCGCAGGCATCATGCAACTGTCATGAAGAATATGAAGTCATATATACCAATTGTTATCACTAATGGATTGCTACTGACGAGCAATAACTTCGCTGCTTCCATTGTATGCAAGTTTCCAGTATAGATTGGCAGCTCTTATCCATACAAGAGATTGTATGACACTTCAATGTTAGTTAAGTTGCGTAATGACAGTATGCCTATTGGATATTTTATTTGTAAGCCCTAGAATCAGTTACTAGCATGTAGAAAAGGGATCCATGAAAAGATATTGATCGCCGACATACCAAAAGAGAAATATAACATGAAAGAAAAATGAACTTCCTGGGATCCACAAGAGAAAGCAACCTCACTCTCATATCACCTCAATTTACCATTTGGATGCATAAGAAATGCAGCAAATCTGATTTCCTCATTTGAAGACACTGATGTTTGTGTTGTGGCACTTAAGATTGAATAGTTGAAGTAGATATCTAAGAAATGGAAAGACAAATGAACATCCTTTATTTAGCATTTTCTTTTTTCAAGAGTTGAACTACTGAAACTGATGCTATGTATTACAGTGGAACAAGGAGACAAAAATAAATAGCCAGGAACGAAAATATGACACTTATTCATAAATAGTAACTGATTAATTTATGACTTTAAAGATGCCATTTCTTCTTAGGTTTATTATTTGTTCCTAGGATCAATCTTTCACGGTTGAATAATGGAAGTAGACAATCCAAACAAGTTTCCACATGTAAGATCCATTCAAATCACCTTCTTCAGCACAATATTATTGGGGTTAAACCCAGTAAAACCTCTTGCAAATTTACAATGACAGAACAAAATTGAATCAGGACAAGTAATTGTGAAATATAGTGTGGTCTAGAGGATGTTTTTTACTGAACAGGACACTTACTTGAAATTTAAAACATAGTAAATTCGCAACCCCTTCATCATGAAAAGGTTGCTTTTAGATTACCTCCTGTGTCGTCCATGCACGAGGTCCGCTAAAAGTCAGAAGCTTTTTCTCGAGCGTTTCGTTGCGCAAAGCAATGAATGTTAATCGGGCTATATCCTGAAAGGACAAAAATCTGATCAATTTTGGTTGAGAGTGAATAAATTATAATTTCCAGGATATGAAATTGAAAAGATTTGCAGCTCCCCATCCATTACTCCCTTTAAAACTGATCGTAGAAGTATTTTTAAGACACTAAATTTTGGGGATTTAGCCTCTTGAAATTGCGACCAACTTTATATATATATACAAGAATTGTATACTATGAGACCATTTACCTTTGATACAAGGAGGTCACAAATATCCCTAGCCTTCCGATTTTGAATTAGACAACTTAGGGTGTGTCATAGAGTTTGAGAAATTTTTCTTTGAACTTTGAACCTAATCAATGACACATTCACAACTACCCGATTTGAAATCCGATGGACAAAAGTGATTGTGACCTCCTTATACCAAAAGTAAACGGTCTCTTTGTATACTTTTGCTCTCTTTGTATACTTTTGCTCTCTCTCTCTCTCTCTATCTCTCTCTCTCTCTCTTGTGCGTGTGTGTGTGTGCGTGCTTGAAAAATAATAACTTCCATGATTGACCAGGGAACATCCAATTTTTGGAGGGCAAGATCTGTGTTAAATAACTCTATATTTTTTTATGAAAACAATCACCTAATGATTCACAGGTGGATCCACGAATTTCAGATTAAAAAAAAAATCAAGGACCTTTTTTGCCCGAGGGAGTTAATGTAGATTATGATCCCAAAGGATCAAGCTATACATGTCAAACTAAAATAAGCTGAAATCAATTAAAAGAAAAAGCATAAAATGGATAGATAAGAGGAGTGTAACCTGTGTATCCATGTAAGCAATTCGTGTAGGTGCATCAGTTCCCCATACAGACTTTTCCTCCAGTATAGGTACTGCATATTGGCCAATTAATCCCTGTGAAATTGAAATCATTAACTGATTACAAGATACGCCAAAAATAAAAATAAAAATTCTCTTTTGATTGTGAGTTAAGAGACTAGTTATTTGCAAATATGCACTAATGTCATCAGATGCTTCATTAAATGTGACTCTTCTTTCATGTTGGGATCAAATCCTCTTCATCATATAAATTTTAAGAGTTACATTTAACATAAATTTGAAAAGTAATGCTTCCTTCTATGGAGATTCCATTTCCCTTAACAGAAACTAGTAATTTCAAAAACGCTGGGTCAGCACGGAATTGACCAGCCCATCTCGGGAATCGGTCACCCCATGCCAATTCTGTCAATATATAGGAAATCGCCCGGGTCTAGAAGAGAACCAATAATTTTCTATAGTAAAACAACGTTTTTCTACAGTAAAAATGCCGTTTTACTACAGTCAAAACGCCGATTCACCTATCCGGACCGGTGCTTGGCCGGTTCTCTGTTTTTGCACATGTTTTTTCGCCAGCTCACTATTTTTTCTGCATAGTAAAACGGCGATCCGGACCGCTGATTCACCGATCCAGATCGGTTTTTGCAATGCCCGATGCAGGTCATTGATCCGTTTTTTAAATCACTGATAGCAACAAAATGAAAACACTTCAATTTTCATATACCTACACTATGTATATTTAAAAAAAGTCATGGCTATCTTCCTCCACTAGCAAAAACAAACAAAACTAACAAAACACCTACTAAAAAATAAAACTAACAAAACCAAAGTCTTAAGAAATAAAAATGGTTATTCATTGAATGAGGAAAAGAAAGTAACAGATATTTCTCTAAGAAATATCATCACAATCTGATAAGAAAATATGAAGGCTCATGGGATATTATTGCCATTAATGATTTTTCTCATACAAAGAACATGGATGTCTCAATATTGAGTGCAATATGAGGAAAGGACTAGTAGAAAATGCACATGAACCAACATGATTTGGAAACAATGAATGCACATGGTCCTGACATTAGAGTAGTCTGTCTACTTTATATCAATCTGTATGTCACACGATTCTCCGCTATATTGCATGGACACGGTTACCTACATCAATGTCTGACAAGGGTAACGGTTGTTCGGATTCCTCATGCCATGGAGAAGACTATTCACTAACATGGCTATATTATGAAGAGGCAACTAACTCCAACAATGGTTTACTAGTATTCCATCTCACAATGAGGAGCAAGAGATAGTCAATCATACCTTAATTGGCAGAATTTATAGATATTTTGAAAGCTTTATAGACATTTTCAAATTTCACATATGTCTGCTCAAAACCAAAAATAAGAATAAAAACTCTAGAATGATGTAATCAACGGTTAATAAACAAGAGAAAAAATCCAAAACAATCTGTTTAAGTATGGCTGTCGATGCATCAGACAAGGGTACAACACCCAAAGAAAAGACTCCATGTACCATAGAGCTATGCAGAACCGTCCTACAGTGAGAAAGCAACATTACAATCTCTTTATGAACAAGTGGAACAACAGATACATACATCATTGTCAACTAAGGATATGAAAGACATTAAGCAACAAAATGGATCTTAAAGGATTCAATATTCCTATTTGTGGAACAGCCAAAACGAGTGGAATCAGAAACCTGAACAAATGATGGCATAAAACCAGAAGAACAGTGAGACAAACAAAGTATTGTTGGTCCGATGATTGTATGAACCAGAATCAGTCATCCAAGCATAATGGAATGAGGCAATGATGAACAGGATGTCTGAGTTGACCATATAAGCTAAGCAATATATTGCATCCACTCTTATGACATAGTAAATGATGACATGGTTGACCAATTGATCTTCTACCTCTGGCTGAGTAGTCTCTATCTGAGCAACTGCTTTTCGGCACTTGGCTACTGCACCTGAGTATATGGTAGTTATGAATAATATTTCCAAGCTCCTTGCAATCATAGCAAAAAACCTAGTGCAAAAAAATAGAATAATACGAGTAGGGGAACAAGCTGGATTTTATCAGACATATTAGATCCCGTCAACTTTTGGGAAGCCTTCTTAATCACATATCTCTTAGTCTTCTAATGTATGGGACTATCTTCTCTACAGGGAGGTCAGGCACTCTATTATAGTATGCCCGAAACATTCATAGAATCTAATTTTAGGTTCACAAGAAATTAAGGAAATTCAGAAACAGTCCATTCTTATAAAGCTGAACTGATGAGGCACTAGCAGACTGGTTAATGGCGTGTTGTTGGTCGAATAATGCCTCGACTATATACAGTAATCAAGTACATTTAGTCCACCTGGCAACAGATTATATGACTTGTTGAACCACCCAATCAATTTGAGTGCGTAAATATTCCCATCTGCAAAAATAATTCTAGTACGAATTCATTGATGAATGTACATGTGATTCAACATATGAACATAACACTGCTAATTTTCTGAGCACTACCATCTTTTTATTTTAACTACTCATTAGCAAATCCATGTGTCTTAAAGACTGCATACATCTACTAGAACCATCAATGTAGAGCCATCGAAGTAGTTTTCCATTAAGAAACACTGCACGCCAAATTCTCATGCATTATATTTATTGCTTGATAGCATATGAACCCTAATTAACATACAGTTAAGAATCTATGCTTTCTAAGACTTAAAATCTTATTAAACTTTTACAACAAAAAAAAAATAGCAGAAATAGCTTGCTGGTGTTCTTTTTTCAAAAGAAGGAAAATAAAACGATCTTAGGAAGTTACTGATCATTGTTGCAGAAAATTACTGCAAGGTTACAGCATCTATTCAAGCTGAGAACATCCGTTTGTTGGGAACACATATCCATGAAGCCTCCAGCTGTTGTCATGCTAAACAAATGATAACTTATAACCCATGAGGAGCAGCACCACTCGGCCCTTGCATACAGTAAAAGGTTGAGAACAAACAAAGATACATTCTATGGAAAACACCTCTCCCATTGACAAAAACATTTTCTATTACCAAGTTGAACAAGAGCGACCCAAGTTTGGTAAGGGATGCCATTAACCAACTCGTGGTATAGCCTTTTTAGGAATCTTCAGAAAACTTTATGGTAACTTATTTAGCTTAGTGGTAATGAGCCTTAATCTAAAGACACTGTTCAAGGTCGCAAATTTCAAACTGTGATGTGCATGCAAGGCCCAAGTTCTCACGTCAGCACAGCTATAGTCAAAACTGGGGCACTGGACTAATCTCCTCCAAATCTCACCCTCCATGCAGGATTTGGAAAAGTAATGAAGAGCCAGAAATAGGCATAAGATCATATGAGTGGGTATTGTGTTGTTTCTCTGCTACCTAACATTCAACATAGGAACTCCAAACCAGCTTTGGTTCGTGCTGAGAAGTTTCCATATGTGTATTAGTGGTAAAAACTCAATTGCCCAAAATCCACCTGCCAGAGAGCTGTGTCAAGGTGAAGCAGAATGTGCTTTCAGCGCAAACTAAAATTATTCATTTAGTCCCTCGAATCTTCATAGATTTCAAGATAACAAATCCCATTGAAATATAGGAAAAATAATAATCAAGTCCAATACTTATGCTAATGCATTAGAACATACAAGGAATATATTAGTCGTACTAATCCTCTACATCTTTTGAATGAAAAACACATGAGAAAATTCAACTTCATTCCTAGTAGGCACAGGAATATTTTTCAAGTATATGAACAGCATGAAAAATGATTTAGGTACCAACAAACCAGCATGTTAAACAGAACTCAGTGGACAAATATTGTCAGATTAAAGCCAAGAACAGTGATATCATAATTCATAACATTGTAAAAAACAATAAGCATGGAGTACCTGCATGAAGCCACATAATCTGATTGTGATGTGATTTAGACCTGAATCTTGGAGAAACCTCTCAGTGCAGCGCTTGATTTCCATCAAAGGAACTTCTGGATGTTTATCACAATCATGGATGGAAAAGAACACATACTTCTGAATACCCATGGCTTTGGCACATTGAATCAGAGCAACTTTTCCTTCCCAATCTACCTAAACAAAACTAAGGATCAGGATGGAGGTGCACCTAGGTATCCTTAAGTTGTAGAATTCTCAACTACTTTGATATATGAATTTCAACAGCAAAGAAAACAATCGAAACTTCTTTAAGAAGTCAGCATAATCCTGATGCCCAAAATCCCAAACAATTGTCTATAAGGTCAGAATGACTCTGTGTATCCAATTTCATAAGATTTACTATACTCACTCAATGTGAAAATTATATGAAGTTGTATAAAAACAAGGTTTTGTTAGCTGTTTGTGGCTATTAAGCTCTAGACCAATAATCAGGAGAGTTGTATTGCATGTGCACTTAAAAGCGGACACGTAGAGAAACCAACAAGTTGATAAAGGAAAAAAATATCATATGTTTATACATCATAGGTGTCATATGAGCTTCATGTCAAGAGAAGAAAAACTTTTGGTGATAACATACGATCATATGAGCTTCCTGTCAAGAGAAGAAAAACTTTTGGTGATAACATACGGGACACACATATTGAAGTTGAAGTTACTGCAATGAAATCTTGAAAATCCTAAAGCTGGGCAAGATAGATAAATCTGATTTCATTATTCAAGAGCGTGGCCCATTTGTCAAAGATACAAGGAAGTTGAAGTTACTGCAATGAAATTTTGAAAATCCTTACTGCAATGAAATTTTGAAAATCGTTAAGCTGGCCAAGATAGATAGAGTTACTCAGATTTTGGAGAATGTGAGAATAGTTCTCTTATGAATGAAAAAAAAACCTCAACCTTAGAAAAATGAGCATGGAGGTTTCAAGCGGGAAATAGGACCTAAATACCCATGGCTAATCAGGAAAAAGAACGATAAAATAACAATAAAAGTAAGAGAAATATTCGAGTCATAAATGTGTGGCTGTCTCTGCTCATTATTTTATGGGTGCAGTTAGCATACGGAGCATCCGTAGCTGTAGAGGTAAGTTGCACCTTCAAATTTTATCATGGTATATAATTTTGATGTAAAATGTTCTTAGGATTATCTCAAAATCTACTTTTCTATCTAACTATAAAATTTTAAATTTCAAAAATAGTTAAAATCAAGTAGATCTATAAACATATGAAAATCTTGAAAATGGACAAGGTAGATAATATGTTGTAAAATGCACTATTTCTGAGACTTAGAATCTTTTTACTTTTCATGGTCATACATCTCGATGTCGAGATGATCTATCAAAGGGTTTTTCAACATTAAAACTACCTTTTCCGATAGATGTTTGAGGTGCATCCGTAGTTCTACATATAAGGTTGCAACCTTATATAAACTTTTTCCTTATTTTATTGGATATCATTGCCAGCAACCCACAATGAACATGTACAAAGAAGAAATAGACCAAAGATAAATGTAACATCTGTTTTAACAAGCTGCCAGCAGGCTGGCAGAAATGAGTTTGTGTTAACATAAGAAACAATCTTTTAACCCGTTTCTGAAAGTGCATCATCTAGTTAAGAAGCCAAGGCAAAAAGGCCCATCGATGTTATTAAGACTTATATAACATGATTTCATAATGGTGGTTAATGGTGACAAATGACTTTCAGAATTCTTTTATCAGTCACCTATTACAAAAGATCTAGGAACTAAACAGTGAATGTCGCATTTGACATGAGAGTGATGCTTGTTAGATTATATTAATAAATATAAATTTCTCAATCAGATCTATCTTTGAATTCTTGTTACTAAAGATTCATCACTGCATATCCTCATTATTCAAAAGCATGGCCCATTTGTCATCTGCTATAAAGTAGTTACCAATAGAAATGCAAAGAATATTCAACCATGAGAGTGCTTATAGGATTGAGGAATTCTAAAAAATAGCAGTGAAGCTTGTTGCTTTCATCGTGTAAAAAAAGGGAAAAAAAAATGCCCATTGTACATAGAGATGCTTATTATAGGAAATTATCATCTGGATGACAGAGATAGAATCATGCTTGTTCTAGCCTACAATCCATCAATAAAAGAAAGAAAAGAAGAGGAAGGGTTCTTGAATATCTCATACTGTTCGAATGGGTTCTTCTGGACGGCCAGTAGCACAATCAATCACTGTATGGACTCCAACTAGTGTTGCAGGAATAGTTTCTGGCTTGCTTAAGTCCCCCTGCTTATATAACACTAGGAGTCAGGAAGCTTTAAAGAAGAAAACCGATCAAGTTAAAAGAGTCATAAATATGCTTCATGCACGATAAATAAGATATCACGATTGCTTTTCGTAGACCTCATACTAATCACTTGAATCCATTACCATATCGAATAAATTCACATCACATAATATCTTCTTATATAATGTTTTTTCCAGCTAGGCCTCTTATACAATGTCCAAAGGTGAACAAGAAATGAGCATGTATATCAAGTGCAAAAACAATGAAAAGTCAATAAAGACAAATCAATATACAGGTAGCCAGAGGGAGAACAAGAAGACAAATTTTCTCTAATGAAAGAAAGATTTAAAAGATCTCAAGAATAATAAACAGGAGCTTCAGCAGGCTCAACCATGAATGAACTCCACTTTAGTTTTCTTCTTTTTATTTTATTTGATACTTAAATCTGTGTGATACCTTATAGACATCTTTTGATAGGGTACCCAAAATTCATAAGCATAGAAACTTGAAAGAGTAGATTACTTGCTACAACATACAAACAGGCAAAGTAACAAGAGGCAGATGTAGCCTTGGAAGCAGTTCATTTCATGATCTATCTTCAGAAAATTTTTCTCATATATAGATTTTACAAGAGCATAAGAAAACTCATATAATACTGTAATACATATTAGGCCTGAAGGAGTGAGTTCAAATTCTCCATAAGTAAAATTTGTGTCGTGAGTTTCAACAAATGAATCTAAATAAGGAACATCTATATGAATGGCTTCACATGTCTTCATACAAGCTAGCATAAACCTCCATTAAGCAGTTTACATAGCCTAATGATGACATTGCTCGTGTTTTGAATCTCCAATGTAAATTTCATTGGTATATAACGTCATTATCTGAATTAACGAAAGGATGATTCACAACTACAATCCT